CTGTCATCAAAACCTCACTGAAGAAAGACAGGGGAGAGAGCACCTGAATAAATAATGAAGCTAACCTGACAAGGTGCTGTCAAGTGCACAATTAAATAATTTTTTTCCTAATACTTTTTCGGTTCCTAAAAAAGAATTATAAAATGTTGTGACTTCTCATACATCCATTCATTTCTTACTGTTTTGTACTTGCATTCGTGATCCATTTTTCCCATGTGAATAATAGCTTTTTTCACTGGCCTAATGATATTACACAATTTAACATGCTCTATCAGTTGTCTTAACTATCCATCTAGTTAAGACATATTTTGAGTGAAATTGTTACCCATATTTTGAATAAAAATATTCCACTTAGGCATGCAAATGGATGTCGTATGTGCTTTTGGATTAATCTGCTCACATCCTATGACAAAATCTGAGGCATCAGTGACTGCAACTTTAGATCATTTAGCTGCTAATGAAAGTTAGGAATCTTACTGCCTTACAACAGTCTTGAAAAGCTCAGTCTCCCCTACTTTTCATTTTCAGAAATGGAACTATATATTCTGTTCTGTCACAAAGACCAAACAAGCCTTCATGTTATTTGATTATGCTTTGTTTTACAGACTTTTCTCATCACCCAGCCCTTCAGTTAGAATTCATTTAGGCTCTGCTTTTTAAAATACTTCTACCATTATCAGGTGAAACTGATTATATAGAGCATGAAAAAGATGTAAAGTTAGGAATTACAGAATACTTTCTACACAAGGTTAGTTAAGCACTGTAATAAATTGCATGAGTAAGTTGAAGAATCTCTTTCATTAGATGTTTTAAAGCACAGAGAGACATATCTGACATGAAAAATGGGTAGTAAATATGGAGAAAGTGAGTAAAGCTGATGCAGCATTGAGGACTACAGGCTCTCAAGATCCCACCAGGACCTGTTTTCTCTGAATGTATTATTTTCTCTTTTTTTCTTGGCTCCTTTTGATCCACTTTTTATTCTGTAGCCTCTTATTTGCAATGCCATTCTGTCTACACTCAAACCTTTCCTTTTTCTGTCATCTTCATCCGTTATTTTTCCTTACTTCTGAAGGTACACAGAAAAGGACATGTTGAACTTATTCAAGATCTGACTTATACAATATCCCTGACAATATTTATTGACTAAATAATTGTCCTACAATTCAATGAAAATAAACCAATAGTGTTTCACTTGCAACTTGCAAGTGGCCCAAGCAATTGAAGTTAGCAAACTATAGATTTGTGTTGCAGGGATTGAATTGTGCCTTTTACCTAGTATTAAATAGCTCAACTTTTGAAATCTTTTTGAAAAAATAATTGTTTTTTTTAAAGTGTGTTCTAAGTGTTTCAGTTAAATTACATCTATCAGAAATAAATACTCCTCTGTTGCTGTCTGTGACTTACCATTATGAAACAATCTGGCATTCTTTCTGTGTCGTTATTTGCGTTCCACTGAATGGGTAATCTCATTAAAATCACCAGGACTACTTGCATTCATGCTCAGAGAGAGTAAGGGCAGGGGACTCTTAGTTTATTGGTTCTGTATGCTGGTTTATTGTTTGCTATTTTTGTGCTTATATGTAAACACTCGCTATTTACGTCTAGTCATGTGAAGGGAGCCACAGTATTTGAGTGACACGGTGCTTCACAATGGAAATCAGGGCTGCATAGCCTACTCCTTTAATCAAAGGCATCTGTGAGCATACAGGACATTCAGCTGTGGACAGTAAGCCTTAATTTATTCTATTACAACACAAATGGATAATGATCCTATAAGGGACCAGCATTCATACATTTGCACCTGAGTGGAGGTGGGAGCAGGTCAGTACGTTGCAGGGCCAGGCCAATGGAGAAAAAATGCATTGCCCTCTGCAATGATAGGACAGGAAATCTTTCTATGGTGCATGCCAAGATTACAAATTAGGGTTAATGAAATGCAAGTATCATGCTCTAACTAATGTTCAAAGTTGCAGTTAGCTCAGATTTGATATATCTTTTTTCCAAATAGAATGGGATCAAACAAAATAATCCACTGAAGCATGCATAATTTGTTTTAAAATGTTTTAACACATTTTAATATCTCCTTTAACAATATGTCAAAGGAGAAGCTACAATCAATATTGCTGTCACTAGCTAAGAAACTCAATAGAGCTGTAGCAACTGTAATGCTTTTGGTGCAAATATTTACCTAAGGCATATTTGAATATTTATCCAATGTATCCATCTGTATTTTGTTAGTCAAACTCTTCTGGTTTTCCCACTGAAGTGAATCAAATCTGTATTCTACTCTGGCATGGGTGTATATAGAGGAAGTTCAGTTGTGCTGTAATAGGAGGTGTTACAAGGATCATGAAAATTGTCTGGAAAAGAGTTCAAAGTGTATTATTTCTCCCTTTTTTAATGCCTTTCTGTGTTTGTATGAATCACAGGGGCTGGACAAATACTAACTGCAGAGTTCTTAAATCGACAAATGCTGGCACATACTAGTATAAGTTCAATAACAGCATGGACCTATTTCTCTCTAAATGATGCGGCGGGATTGAATGGCACCTTGCCACATGCAGAAGTTCATTTTAAGCCAGGAGGAACAGTTTAGTGGTCTCAGGTTGTGACCGAAATATCTAGACTTTCTGGAACCACAAATCTGACTTCTCCCAGGGCTAAGAAAGACTCACAGACCTTATGGAACAATTCATTGATCTGCTTCCCCTTATTTTAAACATTAGCTTTCTAAAGCAAACTTACTTCACAGGGAAAAATGTATTCTGTTTAGACTGAAATAAGGTAAAAAGATGATCTAGTGTCATCTGGAGAGTGGCCAATTTTGTAAGAGACTAAGAAATGTTCTCTGTCTTTTCTGGTAAGAGATTTTATTTAAAACCATAATGTCATGCAGTGTGGCATTTATGTGATTGCCTAACAAAAACTATCAGATATGGGCTTTTTGTTGTTGTTTTTATATACACATATCTACCACTAAGTTTCACAATCAGTATAAACAAATGTGTGACACTGGTCTTTTTTTTTTTTTTTTGTCCCCATGTACAACTGCCCTAATAGGGCTTATTTGGAATTGGGGGAGAAGTTAGCAGGATCATTGCAATGATAGAGAGTCATTCTCGAACCACAACAGAACTGCCTCTGCAACATCCTCTTATTTCATTATCCTTATCTTGGCTCTGACTTCTGTTTTTTCCAGTTTTGTGCTATATTTCCAAGGTTGCACTGAGTGTGTTTGTGATGGAGTTCTCTTACACTTTGCATTTAGCTATGATTGTGACAGAAGCACAGTCCATGTTAAAAACCACAAAGTAACACCAATGAATTCAATAATGGGGTTCTAAAGATTTACACCAATCTGGGTTTAATCACATTACTCAAAAAGTTTAACGTGTAGCCTTACCACAGGAATCCACTTGAGAAACTATTTGGATTTTTGCCTTTAAGTGGAAAGAAAGTGAAGCTAATTCAAACCTGTCCATTTCAGATCTTGAGGTTATTACAAAGGAAAACTGCCATCTTCCTGTCCATGTAAATCAGCTTTATCTTTTTGAAGAGCTGCTTATTCAATCAAGTCCAGAATGAGTCTGTGGCACACCTGGAACAAGAAACCAATCCCTGACTACATTGGCAGGATTTCCACCTACCTTAAGAAATATAACTCCAAGATGATGTGGGCTATTTGGACTCCTGGCAGAAGTCAAAGGATACTTTGGGACCAGTGAGGTATATAAAAGAACAGCACCAGATCCAACTGCCAAACAGAGAGTGTTTTAACCACCATAGCAAATATTCCTATGAAGTTTTCTGGTACTGGGTGTTTTTATGCTACAAGCTTAAGTACTGAATTATCATCAGTTGAGAGGAGCAACAAATGTTTCCAAGGTATAAAGTCAGAAGGAGATTGTGGTGTTAAGGGATTCCTGGGATCTATTCCAGGAAGTTTATTCTACTGGGAGATATCTCTGCGTTGGAGCAGGAGGTCTTTGTCCACAAAGAATGGTCTCTTGTAGGGAAGAAAAGTGGTGCCACATTGAAAGTTGGGAGAGTCTCCTCAAAAACAACAAGCACTGGGCCCAGGGAATGATTCCCCAATAGGAGGACACTCCTAGAGATCGCCTGTGGCAATCTGCAGCCTTCCCCCCTTCAAGATCCAGAGGGAACCTCACTACTCAAAAAGGGTGTGAGTGCCCATCATGAATGAGAACACCTACCTTGTAAGAAGACTGGGTGTAAGTTATGGTATTTGAAATCTGTCATGTCTTGCATGAAAAGGAAACTCCTGGAACTGAAGAGACTTTTCTGTCCAGAGGCAAAAATATCCAATCCATTTACCTCTAGCTATATAATTAATGAGTGATCAAGGTTGAGTGCACTATATGCTGTTAAAAAAAAAAAAAAAATGCTGACTGAACATGTTGGTTTCAGTCTTGCAGCCTGAGCAGCAAGAAAGAATTGCAGTCTTTTCCATTCTCCTCTGCTTTATATACGAAAGGATGTGGAAAGTGGTGACCTAGTTTCAAAGAATAGTGTTATCTCAAATGACTCCTGCCTCATTTATACAAGACATGAATGCATCAGAAGGAAAAGACACTTGGACAAGCATTCACAAAAGAGCAAGCTATGTCACACATCTGAGTAAATGAACAAGCAGAGAAATCAGCAAGAAAAAAACTCATTGACAAGTAATGCAGTTCAGCTTCCCAGGGTAAGAAAATTGTCTTCCTACAGCAGTCCAGACACCTTCAGTTTTAGAATGTCAGGATTTAGAGAGGACTGACTAGATGCCTCAGCAAAGCTCGCAAGGATGAGGAAAAATGAAATACATACTTTTACTTAATGGGGAAGGTGAAAGTCTGCTAGGTAGGCAGCAATAAAGAAGCACAAGCACCACTGCCAGGCACTTCACTAGAGACAATTCATAAAGCCAGGATTTACTTTAATAAAATGTGAAGTAAGAAGAACTTTGCTCAGGTACAAAAACTTCCACAACAAAATCAGTCAGGGACAAAAAATGGCAACACGCTGATTACATTCCCAGCTTCAGTCTCAATTGTATCATAAACCCATTTCCTATTGCAGCGACATTCTGGTCCACATTTGTTTGAATTGCATTTGGGGCAAGGATAGAAGCAACCCAGGCAGTTCTTTTCCAGGCAATCACACAAATCGATGTTATTACAAAGCAGCCTGCCATGTTTGTCGTACTTCCTTTTAATTCTGTGAAAGAGAAGAGAAAGTGATTCTCAGAGAATGCTTCAACATGTTCAAAGACTAAACTAAACAAATGTGGAAAACATCTGCACAGGAACAAGTATTTCCTCTTTAACAGCCTCACAGCATTACGAAGTACCAGCATTATAAACTAATTGCAAAGCCACTGTTACTAAAAATGAAATTGTGCCAAAGAAGTAAATCAGAATTCTCTTAAGTCACACAGAAAAAGCTTGTTTTCCCAGCATGGCTTTCATGTGTAATAAGAAATCTCTCTGCAAAATATTAATGCTTTTATTCATTTCATTTATAGTCAGTAAACAGCATACCAGCCATTTTTAACAGTAAAATGTGTAATAAATTAGCACATCTTACTTGGGCTTATAAAAAAAATCTTGTTTCATCTGTGACATGCGCGCTTTCTTTTTCTGCTCTCTAGTTTCAGGATTGAAGTCAGCTACCTGAGGTCCTGGATTTTGAAAGGCTAAGCATTTTAATTGTTTCTCAAGTTGTTGCTATAAATAAACAACATAAAGTTTATAATTAGTACAATTGGAACAAATATTTATTAGCTGCCAAATGTCCTCACTGGCTTTCAAATGACATTAAAGTTAACATTCTTGATAACTTAAAACCACACAGGTAGGAAAACGAAACAAAACTCAACATAAATTAAGATCACATTGTTTAAAATGTTTGCTTGTCTAACAGTTGAGTATTCCTTTGACTAACCATGCATCCTGACAAGAGAGGGAAGTGTGACTCTGAATACATGACTCTGGTACAGTGGTACGGAGTTTGAAAGTTGTCTTGTGGGAGGTGGAATCGTGTATTTTTTTCTTCAACATTATCCATAACGTAAAAACAAGTACTATGATTATAAGCATCTCAACTGGATTCACCCTTATCTTCATTGTTCCCTCAGATGCCTAAAACCCGTCTTTGTCCAAACAGTCTGAGGGCAAGACAAATGTCTGGAGGAGCAACTAGTGCAGGAAGGAAACATTTGCACAAGCGAGGAGCATGAAAAAAGCACAGACATAATGAAGCTAAAATGAGCACAGTTTTTGAGAAATAGGAGGGAGCATTTTCTTGCCTGTTTTACAGAATTCATGTTTGCAATTAGCTAAACCTGCTGAATAGTTTTGGAGGCTAAAACATCAGCTCTGTGTATTGCCATTCCACATAGTCCATGTATGTTGACAGTCACATCTAAAGTCAATGCAAACAAACATGGGCATTGTGTCAAACAATTTCTCTTTGGACAATGACTGTGGACATTGAACATACATGTCATTCGTTATGCAAAGGCACAAACATACGTACAAATTTATCTTCTGCTCTTAGGTAAATGGAGCTGACTTGCCACCCCCCAACTTCCCTGGAGGGTGTCATTCCTTTCAAAGTCTACAGGGATTTTTCACAAACAAGTAAGTGCCTTCATTGCTTCTCATGGGGAAAGAAGTGGCAGTTCAGTCCAATCTGCTGACAGAGTGATTTAGAAATATCCGTGCACTTGAGTGCACTTATTTACAGGGTGGTTGATGCTGTGCATCTTCAGCTGCATCCTCCTGAAAACCTATAGGGCAATCTCATGCACCTGCTTTATTCAGACATTTCTGCTTTTGAGCCTGGGGTGGATTTTCAGTGCAGAAAATAATGCTTCATCATCATCATTGTCCATGATCACAAATTATGCAACCTCAAGTTGGAAACAAATAATAAGCTATGGAGATAGTCCTCCCTCTAAGAGTGCTCTCCTATTTCCCTACTAACTATTTCATTTGCGCTCGAAAGTGCTCTTAGCCCTCTAAATCACTGCAGTGCAAACTTGACTCATTTCACTGTTATTACTGATAGCTCCCTATTGAATCCAGGTTTTTATTTTTGTAATTATGAAAGAAATTGAAGGCAATGGTAAGTATCCTGACAATAAAATGGTACTGGAGAAGTCATACCAATTGTTTTTGTGTTATTGAGCAGTCCTTATCAGGAGAGACATTTCCTTCTGCAGATGTTTCCTGGGCAGAATCGCTTTTCCTGCAGTTTTCTTCCACACGATCACTCATTTGACCACTCTTGTGAAATACATACATATGTGTTAGACATACACAGAATTGTGAGAACCACAGATGTTTAGTGAAGATTTTAAGGTTAGCAGGCGATATCCATACTAGACTTTTATGTATTCCTAACCAACAGCAAATGCAGAACAAAATGTGGCTCAGTATGAGCCTCGATTTTAAAACAGTATTAAAATAATATAACTAACATAAAAACAAGCTGTATCACCAAAGCCACTATTATTCGTTAAGCAAACCTCGGAAAATCTCTATAGTGTTTAAATAACACAGAAATTGAAAGAAATGTTGTCATCTGTTACAGACACCACTTCACTGCATTGTCGCCTTTAACGTAAAGGTGAGAAGCGGTATTCTCCCGGAACACATAAAAGCAGTCATCGATCAGCACTGGAAATGAAGGCAACAGCACGCAGGAGCAGTCATTTCGCGTACCAGCAGGTGACACTGTTGTCCCAGCTGCGCTTCTTTTTGCAAGGCTCCAAAAAACAGCGGCCTCGTTGGGTGGGGGGTGCGCAGGAGGGGCCTGGGCATATTCCCTGACGTTACTCACAGACACCAAAAGCGTGTCAGAGCTGTGTCCATCACAACTAGGCTGTTCCCTGCAGATTCACAATTTTCCTCCTGAAGACTTCGACCAATGGACTAAAAGTAAACTTCTTGGCTTTTAAATCTCAGCCCTTAGCTTTGCGAAAGATTTTGTGTATAGCTAGAATGTGTAACATTTAGGTTTAATAGGAAAAAAAGTGCATCACTCACTCTGCTAACAAAGCACCCAGGGAGGACTATGGGTTCTGCAAGTCTGTCCTACAAATGCCATCCCGCATCTCTCCCCCATCACACAGAAATGGCAGTGGCAACTGTTCAGGATGGGTGTTAGCTACTTCTTATCCATCATGTGAAGCTACTTAGTTAAAAGTTTTTATGCAATACCTGCAGTTCCAGTGCCTCAGACTTTAACCCCAAACACCACCAGAAATATTTAAGCTTTTTTGGAGTTCTTCCAGCCTTTCGCCAGGTGCTGCACAGTCTCTCCCATTGCCTCTGAAAGGTAGTGCAGTGGTCTCTGCCAGGTTACCCTGCACTTTAGTATTGTTGCCCAAACCCTGTCCCAGAGAAGATCTTCATTTCACCACTGCCCAAGGGCCAGCACCTCTCTGAGACAAGCAGGAGAGGGGTCCAAGCCTTTCGCTCCCTCTGTTGCAGCTCCTCCCTACAGAGTGACAGTCAAAGTGCAAATAGCAATGAGAAGGAAGAGACCTTGTAGTAACTGGAGGGGACACTTTTTTAAGAGGTGAAAAGAAGAGCTTTCAGCCTGTTTTAGAGAGGGTTTTCCTTTCTCCTCTTCAGTGACCTAAAGAATGACTGGGATTGTGACACTGCTCACAACAGGATGCTCTACAGCAACAATTTTAGTCCTGAGACTTGAGCACCTTTTCAGGCTTAGAAAAGGAAATCTATTACCAGGCAATTAATATTTGCTGTATGGAGGATCCTGCTTTCCTACTGGAAATTCACTAGGGACCTACAAATAAAATAAGAATGAAGGCCACTGCTCCAGAAAAAGTGAGTATTGCTCTTCATTTGCCCTCCAGTTGGACTCTTGATAAGGA